CTGAGCTTTCCCTTTTGGGAAAAATCCAATAAAAATTTGCCACAATCGTAATTATTACGTGGCATTAGGTGTACAAAATTGATTGGCGCTTTGGATTCTTTTCTAGCGACGTTCAACGTAACAGTCATGCGCGACAGAAGATCCGTGCGTGGGATTGGTGACAGCGCGTGACGTATTCGTCGGAGCGCGGCGCTCGCGTGCGCGAATTGAATTGTTCTAGAACCTTCGATTGTCCGTTGCCGGTAACGACAACTTGTTTGCGTGTAACGAATTGTTTTTAAAAAGAACAAAGAACGAATTTGATGATTTTAACGAGGATTAAAATCATGTTTGAGATGAAATCACGAGCTCAATTTGTGCATGCGTTCAATGACAATTAATGTCGATCGACTGAAAGAATTCTTGCTTTCCTTTCGAATTACCGATCTCAAACACTGAGAAAAGACGCCACTTTATTTAAACTAGAAGCGAGAAATCTGTGAATCTACAAATCGTAATTTTACATAATTTTTTTTATCAACTTACAAAGGTACTATCGATATGTTTTGTATACGAGATATATTTTTCTTTAGTTATCGATAAAAGATCAATGTATCATACGTCCTTCGTACGTGGTGGCAATTTCCTTGATGACGAAATACGCGTCTAGCCTGATAAGTTATGGAAAACTACGGGTATGTTATGCGAATCCCTATAATTATCCTTATAATTACAATTTGAGTGCGCGGGGCCTCTGTATCGTCCGGTTATGTGGCAGTGATCGCGTGTATCGTCTGGTGCAAACGGTTTCTCGCATACGTAGCAGTGTGTGGCGTTGTTATATTTTTGCTCACGTGAAATTCGCCATGGATACGTTGGCCGAAATTATAGACTGTACACTATGCGCCAAATTTCTGAGTTCTTTCGTGAACCATGCTATACAATCCTTATCACGGCGAAAACGATAGCTCGATGAGCTGTCGAACAGTGCATGTAGTATCCAATACTAAACACGTTGTAATGATAATACGTGTATGTAGCTGATTCAGGATTCCCATTCGTCTTTTCCAATGCATGTCGGCGTAAAGAACGAACGGGACGCGTTCCTTCCTGCAGTGATTGTCGAAACTCAGCTATTTATCATCCTCGCTCGGTAGTCTGATCGGGCAATCGTTTAGTTTTCCACAGTCCTCGCTGCGGATCTCCAGTTTAGTGCTTGAGCTAAAGTAGTGGAGGCATCTGAAAAAACCGCGCATTTATTATTATTATTATTATTATTATTATTACATACTTATCGCAGAAATATTTTCTGTTCTTTTTTCTGGTGAGCTGACTAAGCGAGATAGATTCTTGAGCGCAAAGTATTGCGTTGTCATCTTCTACATATAAGAGGTTTACGTGCTTGCTCCTATTTCGATCGGCGAGTCGTATCGGTACAATCCCTTTTTCATTGGTATAGATGTTGATGGAAATGTCATTCAAAGTTTCGAATTTCTTAATTTGACTTAACATCATTGGAAATTCGATGCCCGCGAGATTTAGAACCGATGTATAATGAGGATTCCCGTTCCATGTTTTTGAGCCAGGTGTAGAGCGGCAACAACAGACCATGCGAAACACGTATTGTTGCAGTTTGCACGTTAATTACCGTTCTCTTTATCATAATTTTTCGCGGGAATTTGATATAACATCCCGCGCGCAGAGAATTATGCTTGTTAGCGTTCCTGAAATTCTTCCAGCGATGATAAGGTAGGCTTGACGACGCGCGACATGTACCACTCGCGCATATCGGTGCATTATATAGTTCATAGTTCCGGATGGCGATACTTTTGTTCGCGCGTTTATCACCTGCCACGAACTCGACATTAAAAACAGTGTTTATTTTTGTAGAGTCATATCGCTGCATTACACTATGCACATGCTCGAACATAATTTCACTCGCGTCTTCGAGGAATCGGTGAGGTTCAACATGTTTAAAGTTATCACTGCGCCCGTCAGAATACGGCTTTCGAATACCATTTCGATGACGCGCCAACGGAATCCGTATCCGGCGCTCACATGCACGAATCTTCCACGCACAGATTCCTTCAAACTCTCGAACCGCGCGATACATACGATCAGTGATTGTCTATTATTGATTGATAATCACGGGCGTTTGATACGGCTCTGTTCCTCCAATGATTTTATAAATTCGTCGCATCGCTGTTTCCACGCGCTGTACTCATCTTTTATATTAAGCAAGGTAGCTTGCTCAACCAAATCATACTCATGTTGTCACTTGCGTTGTCGAATTGATTAATGATGTTATTTGACTAAATCTCGTCATTTTTATATCATTATGTGAGCTATTTTTATTAATGAGACATCTCATGCCTTGAAAAATCTTAAGTTACACTAACAAAGCAGCTATAGTTTGATGAAATTGCAAATGTTGCATTTTTGCAGATGTTGTATCAAATTATTATACATTGATGATGATGTCATCACCAAAACATGTTAATGTCCTTTAAAAAATTTTTTATATTACGCTGACAGAGCAGTTGTATATCGCTGATATTGGCACTATTTGGCAACGTCGCATTTGTATCATATTACATTAGTCATTGCGAAACATGTTAATTGTCCTTGAAAAAATTTTTTATATTATGCTGACAAGGTCATGAAACTTGCAAATTTGCCGATATTGCAATTTGCGGTGTCACATTATATTAATGTCATCGCCGGATTTCTCTAAAAATCTTTTGTTACAAAAAATTGTTGGAGGGGATAAGATTTAACTAAAGATTGGAGCAATGATACTGCATTAGTCGCTCAGACAGATTCATTTTGCAGTGATCTCCAGCGCTATGGATTCGTACGTTCAACATAGGTCAAGCAAGTAAGTATTTCAATTATATTTGTAAAGATTTTTTTTGCTATTGCTATTTTGATATTGCTTATTTTTTTGTTCTTCTCCATTACAACGCGTCTTCTCATACCATTTTGACAAGACTATTAAGCATTGATACCGACGGTTTACAAATTTTTGAAGATTGGAATCATCGTGGCGCCAATCTCTCATGTAGAAATTGCGATATCCAAGGCAATCGCATCATCGACCGTATGCTACGTGGATGGCGTTCATCGAAAAACGGGTAAACATCCAGCCATTGGTGTAGTCATCTACGCCATCGAAAGAAATTATAATGGACTTGTCATTACACTTGTTAAAATACGTGACAATGTGAAATTATCTTTAAGTGAAAAGTGTTTATATATGAAAAATATATGAAACCGTCGACTATACTTTTTATGCTTGAACTCGAACAATGTGTCGAGCACATATATCTCGATTTGTGTCAATATACTAATATTATAAGCGATAATTTAAATATTTTGTGACTCATTTACGTCAAAACTGTATAAATAACAATAATGATGCTATAGATATTTTGCCTAGGATTTACGACAAAAATTTATATATTGAATGCGAATTGATATTATATACTGTGGATAATATTGTATATAATGCATTAGATGAAATATAAATGTTTAAAATAAAAATATCTGTATCTGCAATTAATCGTTTCTATTTCAACGGTATCGTATTACGCGCGCGTCATCACACGTGACACTATCGCGCGCGACCATACCATCATGCAGTGCGAATAATTATATAAGATAAAATAAAATAAAATAAAATATATAATATAACATAATAAATAAATAAAATATTCCGCGTGCAAGAAGAGGATGACGACACATAAGAGGAAAAATGGTAAGTATTATGTATGATAAGTAATGGTAAATTTAGCTCGCGATGGGGATTGCGTCTGGAGGAAGTGGCGGAGACCGACGGCGGACCGTGTCCGGCCATTGACTCCGCACGACGCGGACGCAAGTTTCCGCTACATAATTTCCCGTTACGTAATTTCCGGCTACGTAATTTCCCGTACTCGGGATATCGTCCTCCGCACCGTCATCACCCACTATGACGTCATTTTCCTTCTCCTCCTCCCTCTATGGCGTTATCCCCTCGCTTAGTGACGTCACCTCCTGTGATATCATCCCTCCCTGTGACGTTATCCCCCCTCCTGTGACGTCACCCCCTCGCTTAGGGCCGCTACCTCCTATGACGTCATCCTCCTCCCCTCTCCACGGACCTGCGCCGTAAGTCTCCCCCCCTTCACTCCTCTTCGTATCTCCTGGGTTAGAACCCGCCTTGTCTTACTATTTACAATAGCCGGGAACGAGTACCGTTCATCGTCTACGCCGACTTGGAGTACGTCCTGCAAAAGACGGAATCTGATAAGGAAGACGCGTCGTCGTGCGCGTATCAGCGGCATGAAGCGTTTAGCATAGACTATTACGTGCGATGCGCATATGACGATGCGTTATTGTCGTATTATTTCCATCGCGATGAAGACGATAGCGTGGTTCGCGCGATAACTCAACGATTTGGCGCATCGCATGAAAAATATCGTATTCGCCAACGTGCCCAAGGAAGTTGTCTAAACAGCAATGGGAGGCGTATCGTAGCGCGACGCGTTGTCACATCAGCGAGAAACCATTTACGCCGGATGATACGCGAGTCATTGTCATCTCATCGGTAGATACCGTGGTTCAGCACATTAGAATTGTAACTTAAATTATAAAATTTCGTTTTAAATCCGATTGTATTTCATAATTTATCGGTTACAACGCGCATTTTATAATTAAAGAAATCACTACAGCATATGATAGACACGTAGATCTTCCTATAACTAAGGAAAAATACATTTCGTTTATGAAACATGTTCAAGATACCACCGAAAAAGAATCTCGAAATTGCTTCAAATTAGGATTCGTACAAGTTTCTAAGTACAGTCTCGATAAATTGGCGTCATATCTTGGCAAAGATAAATTAAAAATTGTACGTTCCGAATTTTGCAAGCTCAGCGTGGAGGATTTCGATTTTTTTATACGAAAGGGTGTCTTTCCGTATGAGTACGTTAACTGCGTTGAAAAATTGGATAAACGATGCTTGCCACCTCGCGAATTATTTTATAGCTCGCTGACAGGCGATATCGTATCCGAGAGCGATTACGCTCACGCGAATGTCTGAAAGTGATTCTCTATTCGAACGCTCGGTGAATACAGTGATCTGTACTTGAAAACCAATGTCTTGTTATTGGCCAACATTTTCGAAAATTTCCGCAATAATTGTGTCGCGAGTTACGGTCTCGATCCCGCGCATTACTACACATTACCTAGTTTCACGTGGGACGCAATGCTAAAACATACGCGCATGAGATTTGAGTTGATCATTGATATTGATATGGTCATGTTCATCGAGCGCGGTATACGCGGTAACCTCAATCAATATTTCGGTAGATACGCGCAGGCTAATAACAAGTATATGCGTTCGTACGACTCATCGAAATTGTTGTCATAGTTGATGTACTACGACGTTAACAATTTATACGGGTGGGCGATGTGTCAACCATTGCCATATACCGAATTTCGAAGAGTCAAAGACGTTGCGAACTTTGACGTGAGCGTAATCGTTCCGGATTCGCTCACCGGTTACATTCTCGAAGTCGATCTCGAGTATTCACAACATCTGCGCGATCGACACACTAACCTGCCTTTCTACCCAACGCACGATAAGCCGCCCGGCAAGCGCGAGTATAAACTTCTAGCGACGCTGTACGATAAGCAGCGTTACATCATCCACTACCGAAACTTGCAGCAATGTACTCGTCACGATCTTCGCGCAACAAAGATTCATCGAGTACTATAATTTGCTCAATCCGCCTAGCTTCGCGAGTACCTTGAACTTAATACACAGTTTAGAACGCACTCAAAAAACGATTTCGAAAAAATTTATACAAATTAATGAACAATGCAGTATTCGGTAAAACTATGGAAAATGTTCGAAATCACGTCGATGCAAAATTAGTAACAAAATAGGACGGACGGTACGGCGCGGAGGCAATGATCGCGAAACCGAATTTCCACGGCCGTAGCGTCTTTGCGGAAAATTTGATCGCCGTCGAACTGCGCAAACTCGAGGTGAAGTTTAACAAGCCGATTTATGTAGGTATTTTTATGTGCATACTCAACGTATCGAAAGTTTGCTTGTACGAATTTCACCACAAGTACATGTCACTGATGTATCGCGACAAGTGCAAAATTATGTACACCGATACAGACAGCTTGATTTACAATATGCGTATGATGCGATGAAATGCAATATCGCTAGATTTGATATGAGTGATTATTCGGTGAACAACGCGTACGGTATGCCTCTCGCGAATAAAAAAGTACCCGGATGAAGGACGAAAACAACGGTGCTATAATGACAGAATTCGTTGGACTCAGAGCGAAGATGTACGCGGTGAGAGTGGACGGCAAGATGGACACTAAAAAGGTGTAAAAAGTGTAAAGAGTAACGTCGCAGCGCAAACGATAATTACGTGCGTTGTTTGAATGAAGAGAACAAAATGATTCGCTGTCAATCGTGTATATGATCTAAATTACACGAAGTGTACATGATGTCCGAATCGAAAGTCGCTCTGAGTCCATACGATGACAAACGATACGTCGTACCGGATTTGACGGAGACGTTACCGTGGGAGCATTGTACATGGATACCATTGTACACACACACACACACATACAAATACAAAAGATGTAAATCCGACTGGGTATCCTCCACGCGGTACATCTGGGTAATGATAATGCCGGCGGTACTGTAACTTTTAATCTTCATAACTCGAGATTTACTTAATCAAAAAATATTAGGTGTTGGAATTAATTCGTAGCGT